AAAAAAAAAAAAAAAGAAACAGGATAAAGATGTTGAAAACCTGCCATAACACCCCCACCCCCAATCGCAACTGCAAGGGAGATGAAGAAAATGGCTGTACTTTCCTTGAGGTTGAAGTCCTGGTGTGTAACTCAGCCCTGAGCTGCCTTGGCCAGGACTACTGCAGCTGTGGCTCCTTAAAACCATTGTTTTGTTTTTCGCCCAGATTTTAAACACAGGGCCAGGGAGATGGCTCAGTAGAATAAGCGCTTCCCTGGCAAGTTCAAGGGCCTGAGTTCAGTCACCAGTTTCACACACACACAAAAACCCCAACAGATTTTAAACACAGGCACTATCTTGGGTTTTAACAAATTTGTGATGCCAGCAAGGCCCACAGCTGATGCCAAGGCCATAGCACACCATAGGCATGACCCCCGCCCATGTAGCTCGAGGCACACAGGACTGTAGTTGGCATGCACCAACCTCTGTGGCTGGATGGTGCAAACAGATGCACAGGCAGCTGGGGAATCCCACCTGGGTCTGCCTAGTAATGAGCGCAGGGTCTCCTGGAGCCCAATTTGTACCCCTCCCCTAACCAGCGCTATGCTGCTTAGAACCAATGGCTAAAACCATTGGTTTAAAAGATCCAATGGTTTAAAAGAACTTTTTCCTTTTTTATTTAATTGAGCAAAGCTAGAGGGTTTAAACTCCATCTGCTGTACTTTTGCTCTACACTCCTTGTCCATTTGGAACTTGATTTTAAAACTAGTCCATACCAAGTCTTTAGAAAGTAGCACGTATGTAAGAACCAAAAAAAAAAAAAAAAAAATTATATACATCTCTAAACATCTACGGTCGTTGAAACTCTTGTTTTTCCCATTTTTAACTCTTGTCTAACTTTTCTGAAGCCTCTTTCTCTCTTTGTGCTCCTTTATCTCTGGCCCTAGTGAGCCTCCACCCCCAACTTTTACACCTAGTACACCAGCCCCAATGCATGCCTGTGCTGAATCCTGCTTTCTGTAACCAATCCACTTCCCTCCCTTATGCACGCTCTTTGGGAGTGATTCCACCCCCCAAACTTCTACCAGGTGTCATCTTCTAGGGGCATCCTGTTCTGGGCAACGAATGTAGGGATTCATTAAAACCTCCCTTTAGTTATAACACGCGTTACAAAGTTGCCTAGCGACTAATGGCTGACCTTAACCAGACAGGATGTTTATCTCAGGACTGAGGTAGCTTGTTTGCTTTAGGCACTGAGACCTAGTCCCACCTACACACCTTTCATCAATTTCTGAGCTTCCTACAGCTGCCAACATGGGAAGGCTGTTCAGTCACTAGAACCTCATACCCTGCATACCTGCCAGCTCGTCCTCAGGGAGGGCTGAGCCGCCCCGCCCCCAAAAAAGATGCTGATATTGTATATAATGGAATACTACTAAGCCATAACTTGAGACTTATAAGTCAGTGGATGCAACGAGACTATACTCAGAAGTGAGATAAATACCCGCATGTGCAAGCATCGTATTGTCTCAGTAGTATGAGAAATGGAAAGAATAAGATCCAGATGTGTAATGGGTATTGTAAATAGTGAAGAAACTGTTCAAAAGAAAAGAAAGACTGCTGGGAGAAAGCCATGTCATGTCTCACACTTTTTAGGAACCTGGATTCTGGCTAAATCTATATTTGGCCTGCAACCCAAGACGTCCCTAATGTTTTCATATTCATTTCATTAATTTCTCATTTTTTTATTTTGTATATATAGGAAGAAATAGATAAAATAGTACAGACTACAGAATCAGTGACTGGGAATATTCAGAGTCTGAAAAACAAAATTGACATTCTGGAGCATGAGATAGAGGAAGAGGAGGAAAAGGCAAAAGAGGTAATTGTTTAAAAATGTATTGCTGGGCTGGGGAGATGGCTCAGTGTAAGGCCTGAGTTCAATCCCCAGTTCTGCCAAAAAAAAAATAAAAATTTTTGCTAGAACTTGGATATATATTAAATTTATTAGTACATGCTTCTAATACATAAGAATTACATCATGATTTGGTGCATAACACATTTTAACTCTTTTATGTCCCCTTACCCCCTCCCCCCTTCAGAATTTGGATATACTTTTTAATGCTTATATTTGAACCAAACAACTTTCAAATGTACGATGAGCAAAATCAGGCTAAGGAGATAGCTTGGTGGTCTTAGTGTCTGCCTGGCAAGCTCAGGGACCTAAGTGATTCCCCAGTACCACATACCATGCCAGCCCCGGAACTCTGGGCATGCTGTGCTGGCCTTGTCAAAACCAAGTGTTGGTGGCACACACCTGTAATTCCAGCACTGTGAAGGCTGAAACAGGAGAATCACTATGAGTCTGAATTGTGTGGTAAGACCCTGTGACATAAATAAATGAGAACTAAATACATAAATAATGAGAACTAAATCAATGTTTTGAAATAATCTCTAGGTTTGTTTCTATTTAGATGCTTCAACTGGATATGCATAACACACTTTCTCTCCCAGAGCTTTCTCAGCGCAGTCTGAAAACCCCCACACTGCAGGCAAGTACCTATACACCATACTGATTATATCACCAGTTATGTTGTACGTATATGTAAATCATATTCTCTTTCTTTAAAACAACTCTAATTATAATATAAGCTATTTGACAAATTTCTTTTCTGAGTTTTTGTTGTTTTTGTTTTTGTTTTCAGCGGAACCGGGGAATGAACTCAGGCCCTTGTGCTTGCCAGGCAAGCGCTTATTCTACTGAGCCATCTCCCTGGCCCCTCTTTTTGATTTGACTATATTGGTTGAATATCTTTGTCAGTTCATGTAGGTCTCTCATTCATTTCAACAGTTACATTACATTTCATTTCCATAATACAATTTTTAAATTACTATCAGAAGTAAATGAATTTTGTATTGCCAGTAATCCTGGGGGGGGTGGCATAGCATATGCACACATACCTATGTACGTTTATACACCTGTGTAGTCATAACTGTAGGACATATTACTGGAAGAAAATTTTGATAGTTGCTTCTGTTTATGCTTCTAGCAGTAGTACATAATTCTTTTTTAAATAGCATTATCTTACTTGTAGTAAACTAGTAATTTATCTTCAGAGTACTGCAATATTGTAGGGTAAATGTTTATAGCAGTAGAGTATCTTCGTTTTCTCAGAAAGCAATTTAAAATTTTCCTATCTGTAATCCTCCAATAGGAAGAGGAAAATGTATCTTTGAAAGAAGAATAGCTATTTACTGATAATTAGTGAACTTGGGTGATGGGTACTTGTTATACAGCGCTCTCTAAATAACATACATTTGACATTTTTCATAATAAAATGTTAAAACTGGGGCTGGTGAGATAGCTCCGTGGTCTAAAGCACCTGCTTAGGCAAGTTTAGGCATAGCGCAGGGACCATGGTTCAATCCCCCAGCACCACATGCTGGCCAGCCCTGCCCCCAGGGTAGGCTGAGCTGGCAAAAAAAAA